CTGGTGAAGGTATCAATGTGAAAGGCTTGTATTTCATGGCAGTCTTCCCTAGCCTGAACAAGTTATACGGTTTACTTATTTTAAAATGTAGTATTTTATACTTTACATCCTTCTATAACCTTCTGGGGCAAGGTAGAAACAACTGTTACTTCTTGTATTTTCATACAGTTGACTTCAACCTTTGATGTTTACAAATAGTCCTTTGGTTTTTCAAACACTAGGGAGACTTGTCCTGCTGGGAGGTCAGGTACCCTAGTCTGCTGTACGCTTCCACATTCAGAAACTGTCCTTTAAAATAAAATGAGATTACACACTTCTTGAAATGATGCTTACCTTCTTCCAAGACCAACTTTAACAGGCATTTTAGCATGTGTGGCAAAACTCATTAATGTTGGTTGTTGTCCAGCAGTGCAAATGTTGTATGCTGGTTTTGTGGAAAAGTGTACTCATTGAAGTGTTTATTGTATCAATGTGAAATCTTTATTTTTTCTTCATCAATTAGTCCTCTGCAAACCGTGGTGTCCTCAGCCTGATATGCCAGGCTGCACACTGAGAGGTGCTGCCAGTTTAGAAGAAAACTTTTCCCTGGGTAGTTTACATTTTGTGACGTTTTAGTTCAAGGGAGTGGATTTCTTTATCTTCTGGAAGGCATCAATGAACAGACTTTGCATTACCTGGCTATCTCATTTCATTGCTGACCAGAAAGAGAACCCTTTTAGGTATATATGGCAAGGTGTACTGGGGTCCTGGCTGTGCCATACTTTTGTGCTCTGGTCATTCAAGCTGGTGTCATATCCAGTAGCAGCCTTAGCACAAGAATTTCTGTAGCTGGAGATTTTGTGAGACCGCACATTCATTCGCTTGAAGTCAGCTACTGTGTATCCCTGTGATAATTATTCAGCTGCTATTAATATCAAGAAAAATTGAACCAGCAGTACAGAGATAAAGGCTTTATGCCTTATCATTCTTCAGTCTTCTTTATTTGCCATGTCTCTAGTTTGTTTTTAGACCCTAAGATAATGTTTTGCAGAAAAACATTGTTTCACATTCCTGGTAGCACTGCGAATTGCATACAGTCTAACCACACTGTAATAATTATCTAATCATATCTAATTTTGTATTTTGTAAAGCACAAGAATGGTTTGAAAATAGAATGGAATTGATTACATTAACAGTTCAGTGACATGCTGCCTGATAATAAACTTTTCGCTAAATAAAAACAAAAAAATGCTAAAATTGAACAAAAAGATTGGATACCCTGAAGGGTTGACAGATTGAATATTCAGTTTAATTGTAAAATTAGATGAGTTAACAATGATTAATGTCCCGGATTAAATGGTGTTCCACTGTTAATTTCTTTGACCCTTACATCTAATTCATGTTAAAATACAAAATAATTATTGCAAAACCATTCTACAGTTTCTGCAGTGGCCAGTGTTTGCAGTGGCAAATTAAGCAGGTTGTGCTCTCAGCTTGAGAAACTACAAGGTTTGAGGAAAGTCCTCATATATCTGTATTTTAGGACGTTTTCTTACATTTATAGTAATTTGTAGTAGAGGACTTCTTTCACACTTCATTAGAAAGATGAATCAATTGGAAAAGTCCTACCTAATTTCATTATTGCTACTTTATTTTATATACTAAGGGTTTCAAAGTGAATTATATTGCATCAAATGAAATTCTCATAGAACTGCATGCAATAAGTACAGGCAGATCATGTAAATATATATGATATGGTTGTATAGAAATAATACACACAAAGATAATGACAAGGCATGAGTGTAAAAAGCTTTATTTAAGAACAAAAATTAAGTGTTGGCATAAACTCACTAGCTTCTGAATCATAACACTGATGGCAGTATTATATTGGTTAAGCAAACTCTTTCTGAGCACATATCCAACAGACAATAAAGCGCATGCAGAAGTGAGCGTAAATATTTCATGATAGCTTAATCTCAGTACAAAAAAAGGCCTTCTTAGAACATTCTGTGCCGAAGACTTTGCCTCCCGCTGCCACTCTGCTTTATGATGATCAATCACATAGACACACTGCCTACTGCAGTTTCGGATGCAGTTTCAGCCCTTTAGGCTGATACCACAATTATACTTCAGGAAGAAGCCTATCATATCATGAAGGAAAGGGGAAAAAAAAAAAGGAAAAGAAGTGAAGGGTGTAAACTAAGGTACAAGGTAACTAGGCACGAGCGTAGATTTGAAGGTAGCATTAGAAAGGTTATG